AAAATAAATAAGTAATAAACTTAACTACCTCCTCTGACAAAAAAAGAAATAAATAGGCTGGGAGGTCAGCCAGCTCCCCACCAGAGACAGGGAGACCAGTTAGAGGGGGCTGACAGAGGCCCTCCAGAGCTAGGGCAGGGCTAGGAATTAAAGGTGGGGTAAAAGGGCAAGACATTCCGGGGACAGAACCGTTGTATGCTAAACTTGTGAGACCGCTAAGGATGCGGGGATGGGGGTGGGGGAGTGGCAACCACATGAGGCTCTGGCAGGGGTCCCGGAGGGCAGCCACATGAGGCTCCGGCGGGGGTCTCAGGGAGGGTGGAGGGCTGTGAGGAGCAGACAGACATCCAGGGACTTGTGTCTTTCTTCTTCCTTCTTAACAACTGAAAATGTAGCGAGAATAGTTAATGAACTGCATGTATCTTTCAACCAGATTCAATCATTAGCAACAGTCCGCCATTCTTGTTTTACGTGCACGTTTTATCTTTTGGCTGACGTTTCTTAATGTAAATCCCAGATGTTGTCATTTCCTCCATATATACTTCAGCATGTGTCTTTAAGAGATAAGACCTTCAAATATACACACACCCATACACCATTTTCACACTCAAAAATCGAGTAATAATTCTTCAATATCATCTAATCCCCAAACTCTGTTTTCCCAGATTGAGAAAATTAATTAAGTTGAAATGTTCAAATCAGGATCCAGTCAAGGACCACACTCTCTCTGGTTGTTGTGTCTCTTAAGTCTCTTTTAATCCCTAGTAGTTTCTGCCTTCTTTTTTTTTTCACTCTTTTGTTATTTAATCTGTTCCTCTATCCCCCTATTTCCTGCAAATTGCTAGTCAGATCTGCAAACTTGGTTAAGTTTCAGGTTCAACTAAAAATATTCTTTTCTTTTGTTGCAAAAATGCTTCCTAGGTAGGGTGGGTCCCCTTGCTGCATCAGGCCAGGAGGAGCCTGGCGCACTTAACTCTTTCTCCCCACTGACAGCCCATGATGGACAGAAACAAGGCGGACGAACTCCCCAAGCTGCAGGTCGGCTTCATTGATTTCGTCTGCACCTTTGTCTACAAGGTAAGTCCTTCGCTTCCTCAGGCCCAACAAGATGTCTTTGCTAAGCCTGGGATTCCCAAACCACATCAGGAATAATGAACCCTGGCAAGTGACCAGGGAGTGATTCTTTACAAAGTGCTTCTCATCTCTAATAGCATCTGGTCCCCAGGATAGCCCTGTGGGGGCTTGTGTGACTGCACACCCAGGCCAGAGCCTGGAGCATTGTACATCCTAGTTGCTCAGGAAATAGTTGTGGGACAAATGACAGATCGTGTTTCCAGGCAGGGAGGAGGCACAAATGCACCTCTGATACAACGCAGACTAACAGGGTCCTCCAGGCAGCAGGGCCGGGTAGCTGACCTCTTCACGATCATCAGTGACATATGACACCATGGAGACTGGGCTGGGTGCTGTCCGGGTGTTATCACAACCACCCTGTGAGGTACCGTCCCGATTTCATGGTGCCCTGCCCAAGGTCACACAGCCAGTGGCAGAGTCTAGACCTGAACCCAGGCAGCTCTGGGCACAGCCGGCTCCAGCTGAACTCCGCAGTGGGCCCTGGGTTTGCCATTCTTACCTTGTGCAAATCTCCATCAGTCTGCATCTCAATTTCTTCACCTGAAAATCTAGAAGTGATGACTCTTGTTTTCCCACCTCACAGGAGTTTCTGAGGATCCAAGGAGATAAAGCATTTCATATACTCTCATGTGCTGTACTCTAAGCATTATTTTTATTCTTAGAGCTAGGAGATCTTAAGAATCCTCTTCATATCCCGATTTCACTCGGCAAATACTGACTGAGTGTCTTTGTGCCCCAGACCCTGGGCTAGGCCAAGTCCACCCCATGAATGAGCAGAGACGTCCCTGATCTGTGCAGTTCACAGCACCGGGGTCAGACTGGCAAAGGGAATGATTACAGCGAGGTGAGATGGGCAAAGAGAAGGCTTTGGGAGCTGCTCATAGAGGACTCGACTTTCTAATAGAGGAGGTCAGAAGAGGCTTCCCAGACGAAGTGATGTCTAAGTGGACAAGAGGGGAAGTTAGTGTTCCAGCAAACAGAAGAGCTGGTGTGAAGCCCACAGAAAGGAGGGGACACCCAGGGACTGATAGATTTGGAATGCCCAGAAGGTTCAAGACGGTGAAGGGGGAAAGGCACCAGGTCTGAAGGGCTTGAAAGCCTTGTCAAGGAGTTTGCGCTTCATCCTGAAAACCAGGGGGCACCTAGGAAGGTTTTAAGCAGGAGAGGGCCGGGATCAGGTGACCAGAGGCCCTGCAGTGTCAGCACACACCCCGCTGGGTGACAGAAACTGCTGCTGGCCCCGGGGGAAGCTCATTCCAGTGCCGGACACATCCAGCTGCGCTCCAGGGCTCGGCTGGGCACCAGCGGCTCTCTCTCTTTCAGGAATTCTCCCGCTTCCACGAGGAGATCACTCCCATGCTGGATGGGATCACCAACAACCGCAAGGAATGGAAAGCACTTGCTGATGAGTACGAGGCCAAGATCAAGGAGCTGCAGGGGGAGAAGGAGAAAGACCAGGCACCCAAACAAGGTTTGTGGAAGGGTGGAGACGGGGAGCCCCGACCCCACACATACTGAGCGCTCACCGCGTGCCTGGCGGGGCCGCACAGCCTCCCACACGTGGGCCCGTTCAGGCCTGCCCGTGACCTGGTATTGCCCCTGTTCTACAAGTGAGGCCACTGGGGCTCCCAGAGGTGAAGCATCATGGCCAAGTCACACAGTTAGTAGTGGCCGAGCCTGGTTCCCAAGACTGAGGCTCCCGGCAGTGATTCCCCGGCTGCCCCCAACCAGGGTAGGACAGACTCCAATCATAAAGTGGAGGACACAGGGCCTCTGAAAGCCTTTAGGTTTGCAATTCTTGGTCCAAAGCAGGTCAGAGGGAAACAAACAAACCCACTGCAGCCTCCTCTCACCTGGTGTGTTCTCCTTCCTGTCTGATTCCAACAACAGTAGGAAATCAGCCCGGGGGGAAACCCAGTTCGGGCGCTGCATCCAAGTCCTGCTGCATCCAGTAGCCCCAGCGGGGATCTGCCGGCCAGGACGGCCCCACCCTCCACGGGAGAAGAGAACCCAAGCCAGTGGAGAACCACACACCTGCTTGAGGAGTCAGAGTCATAGGGTTTGAAAACTGAAGGATTTAGTTTACATCTTCCTTAGTGGCTTTCAAACCTCTCTTCAGCCCTGAGAACGTCTTACTGAGCTGAACCAACATGCTAGCTTTCATAGACCTCAATTAAACATTGAATTAGTGCCAGATCCACCTGCTTACCTAGGGTCATTTTTCTTATACTTTCATCTTATAGTACGCGAATTTTCAGTCATTCTCAAGAATAGAGACTTCTACAACGATCCCCACCTACCCAGCACCCAGGTTCTAATATCAAGATTTTGCCACATTTGCTTTGTCTGTCCTTTTATATTTCTCTTCCATTTTTCCCTTAGCTGAAATAAATAAAAGCAAATTCCAGACATATCATTTCACTCCTCTGTTACGCATCTTTAAAGATATATGAGCATTGTCTAACACAACTACATCATTATCACATGCAACAAATGAACCTCTGATATCCAGTTGTGGCAGATGCTGCAATGAGCTGTACAGATCCTCTGCGGAAGACTGTGGTCCAGCAGCGGTGAGTGCTGTTGGCAGACAGTCCTCGGCGTGAGGATGACCTCATCCTCAGAGAGACAGTTTGCCCAAGGGTGGCCTGCACCCAGTGATGCATCCATGCTTGGCCACCTTGGCCCAACACAGGACAACTCTGCAGGGCCCTTCTAGCTCCGGGGCTCCTCATGGGGCCCACCAAGTCTGTCCCCAGGCTCGCAACACAGCTCAGTTTCTCCCTCTCCCCACTCCTCCTCCCTTCCCTTCCCCAGGCCCTGGTCCCGAGGGCACTCCCTAATAAACATCTGGCAGACTCTTTGCAGAAGCTGCTCTCTGGGGAACCTAACTTGTGGCTCCAGTCCTGACTCTCCCTCGATGTTGCAACAGTGTCTTCAATGATTTGTTTGAATCTGATCCAAACAAGTCGACTTCTAGTTGTCCCATATTCTGGATTTATCCATTTGCTTCCATGTGATGCTGTGTAACATATTCCTCTGTCCCTGGTTCTCCTCTAAGTGGGTGCAAACTCTAGAACTTCTCTTCCTCCCTAATAGAATGTTATGCAGAAGCTTATACATTAATGCAGTTGCTTTGAGGAGAGGGAACGCATAATTTCTCCAAACTGTTTGTAAACCACTGATCCACTCCAACCTCCCTCTTTATATAAGCGAGGAAACTGAAGGCCAGAGAGGGGATGAGGAAATTCTTGGCACAGTTCCCTGCCTTCCCTCCCTCCAGAAGCAAATGCTCAAGGTCACAGAGAACACAATGTACAGGGCACGCGCCCCATGACCGCCAACAGCAGATCAGTCTGGGCTCCTGACACATGAACCCTGCCCATATATGGAGGTCTTGCTGTCAAGAGGGATCTGGAACCCTCATCTTTATCTGCGAGATGTTGTGGCTCGGCTCCCTCCCGCCGCAGCTGTGCAAAGTCATTCGGCAACGGATGGGAGCATTCGGAATTCCTAATTAATGGGGATGGGCACCCTGTAACAAATGGAGAAGCAATCCCCCTCTTGGAGTTAACCTTCTAGTAAGGGGGTGATAGGTACTGAGCCATCAATCGCACGGATAACCTCTCAAAAGACTCTAATTCATGCCACAGATCCCTGCTGCTGAGAGCAAACACCCCCATTTTAGAGAGAAAAATCATGATGTGTTCCCTTTTTGCTGAAGAATTCCAATTTCCAGAATGAGAAAATAAATCACCTGAACCATGAGAGCACGTCTGTGGAGGTAATAAACAATTTGAAAATAGCTGACACATGACATGAAATGGAGTGACTTATTACACTTGCTCTTGTTTGTGTATAATTTTCCTCACCAGTGTTTCAAACCTTTGGGAGCACATGAGATTCATGCACTCAAACTGCACTTAAACATTAAAGCAGTTTTGGGGCAAAATAAAGGCTGACCCCAATAGTGCTTTGAAACTGAGGCAACAGTGCACACACACCCAAGACTGAAAGTCTTGGAAGACGTCGTTTCTTCACTGCTCTCACGGGGAGCAAGTGAGCAGCGGAAAATGTTTCCAGTTCACCCAAACATGGCGCACGATTCGTCTGTTCTCCCCACCCTCTGGTCAGTTGTCAATTCGTGTCGATGTCAAAATCCCTCTTATATTTCCGTATAAGCACATATATTTAGTGTGCTTATGTAAACAAGCTGATACATCAAAACAAGGGAGTCCTCATTCACAAGGTGGTAATAACTATAAAAGTCGAGGCAAGAAGCAGGTCATGGAACAGTGTTAGGGGAGGCAAGTCTGAATGGTTCATTAGAGCCACGAAAAGTGCTGTGAAGAAGGCACAGGTGAGTTCGAGAGTTTTGGAGGCGTGAGGGGCACACCTTGGCCAGGGTCTTCTCTGACAGATGACACTGAAACTAGAATCCTTTTTCCAGTTAGTGGTCGGTGTGTCCCTCAACGAACATGTAGGACCAATAAAGAAAGACACACCTGGGCAGGGCTGTGTGTGGTTATTTCCTTTTTAATCTCCATAGTGTATTTGTTAAGTTTATTTATAAGCAGATCACTTCACTATTTACAGTACATGAGCATAGAGATTCTACAGTTTTTGTGATGTAAACAATAACTCCACAGTGGGAGTCTGAGAAAAGAAGCCAGTTCTGAAGTATTTACAGACGTTAAAATAGAACTTTATACTCATGGAATAATAATACATAGAGCAATTTGGTTAAATTATCTATGAAACTATAGAATCTGACAATGTACAAATACAGGAAAACATTTTCTCATTTAGAAGGTAAGACAGATAAATCACACCAGAAATAAAATGGGGACAATGACAACCACAATAATTAAAAGCAAAGAAGTTTTCTTCCTTGCCTCTCACAGATAAAGTATTTATATAAATAAGGACACAACCCAACAAAATGGAAAAAATATATAAAAATCCTCTACCAATTAAAAAAATAGCAAAACTAAAAACTCGATTCTCATCATTAGCAGTGTCCTTTAAAAAATTAAAATTTTGCTTTCTATTATAAATAACAAAGCAGATGTGTCCCTCTGTGTAGGTGAAATTCTTGCACCTTTCTCAAGAAATGCATCAATGTAAATCCACACATACACATAAACACAGGCGTGCACACGTGCAGACACACACACACACACATACACACACACACACAGCCTTGCACTCATGCACCCCAGGCTGTAGTTACCTTGTTGAGCTTCCTAATAATGCCCCCTACGGTAGTACCCCTGGGGATGCCCAAACCTCACAAGGTTAGCCATTCCCTGGTTTGACCCTGTCACAGAGCCGGGGAAAGCCCTGGCTTCCTATTGCTCAGGATTCTCTAGGCTGCACGGTCACACCAAGAGAAAAGGATTTGAGTCCAAGATTTGGAAATGCTATAAGGGACCATAGGGACCACCTTGCCCAGTCAATTAAGGCTAGCTACAGACACTGTTTCTTTAGAAACCTGGGGTTGGGGAGAGGAATCTTGCGTTGGTTTCAACATTAGCAGCTGCCTCAGGAAGAAGCAGGCGCTCCAAGCCAATGCTAATACCGCGGCACAGGAGGTGAAGGGGGTGGGTGTGAATTTCCGGAGCAGACTGCACCGAGCCGGACTTCCGGACGGTCATCCCCCCGAGAAACCATCTGGAAATTCACGTGGTCCACTTCCCTGGTCCACTGACCGCCCTGACCCCACACCCCTTGAGATTTCCAACCTGTTTCCATGGGAATCAGAACACCCCTCAAGAAACAAAGTTGGGAGTAGTTTATGACTTTTTATTCCTAACATAAAAACACTTGACAAGATTTTTAAATACAAAATACAAAAACAAACGAAGAAAAAACCTGTTTGGCTATTTGGTGGACCATATCAAAGGCCATGGCCCGGCCCCCCGACCACAGAACCCTCATACCCAACCCCTTTGTTTGTCCCGAGGGTCCAGTGGGGGCCTCCTAGCAGAGGTTCACTTAACAAGGTCGGCAGCTGGGCTGCCAGTATTGCAGTTACAGTAAACCCCTCCCGGGCACCCGGGCACAGGTCCACTCCTGTCTCCGCTGCCCAGGGGGAGCCAGTGTACTTCTCAGTCTGCATGAGGGCCTACTAAGCGGCTGCTTCTGGGGCCTCTGACTGGTGTTCCATGGGGCTCTAAACACATAGACAGTTTGCTCATGCCCTTGCATTTCATTCCCAAAGTTGGTGTTAGACAGCAAAGTGGTGGAAAGGATTTATTTGCCTTCCGTCTGGGTAGCTGGTGGATACAGTCTTTGGCCACTAGATGGCGACGAGACATTGATAAGGCAAAATGCTGAGGTGGAAGCTGACCAATCCCTTCAAAGTGTCACCCATGAGCAAGGCTGGCAAAGTGAAAAGGGAGGCTTTATTGGCTTCCTTGGAGGATCCTTGGACAAAACATACAGTTCTGGCTACATAAACACCTCTGAGGGCTTGCACAGCCCAGGGACTGAGCAGCTACAAAACCCTATTTTCCGAGTCCCCAGCTCGGGCAGTTGAAGCTGCTTCCGCACGTGCGAGGCATTCTGATTAAACAGAGTATCTGAAAATCTCCCCCCTCCCTGTCCCCCGAATCTCCAAGCCTCAATCACCACTGCTGTACCATTAAACAAAAACAAAAGCTGCCCTAAACATATGCAGTGTGATCCACGCCTCCTGTTGCCCCATATGTTTTACAATCATTTGAAAGAAACGTGTGAAAAGTGCTTAAGTTAAGCTATTTTGAAAAAACAAGTGTATTGCTAGTATTGTCTGAGAGCAAGAGAGAAACAGCCAAGTGGTCCCAACATTGGAATTAAAAGCTGTTCGGTGGGGACCATCACAAGGCTAAAGTGAGATCTGACATCGCCCCCCAGCCAAGCTGGGGCTGAACAGCTCACCATCCCCGCCGCAAACTATGGCTTAGATTAGTCCTGGGGAGCTAACCTCGTATAAGGTAACGCGGCCAGGACCACGTGGGTGTGAATCTGCTGCCAGTTGGCTCTGGCACAGCCAGAGAACGGAACTGGACTCACAGGTTAGTGATGGACTCCCGATACTCCAGGATGAGAATCTGAACCTATCAGAGGTGAAAGGTACTTTAGTTGCATCCCAGCCAATATTCCCATCTGCTAGATGAGGAAACAGAGGCCCAAGATCACATCGCAAGTAAGAAACTCTGAGTTTCTCACTTTGAAATGGCTTATAGATGAATGACTTGCTCTGCAAACCCATTTCAACTGGCTGTGCTGTTTTCTTTTCTTTTTTTTTTAACAGGTACCAAGATCTAAAAGCACCGTTCTGGTTCTAGGGCCTCCAATGAACAGGCCAGCAAGGGGCTGGCCCTAGGATGGGCTCTCCTGCTGCTCTCTCCTCCCTCCCACCAGCCCCTTTCCCAACTCCCATCCTGATTCCCAGGACAGCATGTCACACAGCCCAAGGAGACCCATATTTGCCAGCATAGAAACATGGAGCCAGGCTGAAGTGTTGTGGTTTTCTCAAAGTGCTTTTATTGGTTCAGTGCAAAGTCTGCCGCTGCCTACTGCCTGGACGTTCAGCAGCCGGCTCCCAGGGGTGCCCCACCCCACATCTGTTTTGGGCCAAGGGCATCTCTGTGCACAAGGGTCTCTCAGCTCCTGAGTTCTCCCTCCATTCACCTGTAACTGTGAGCTCAGCGAACAACCCTGAAGCCACTCTATGTGTGCAAATGTCTCAGGGACTTGAGGACCAACTTAAACACACTGCATGTAAGCACTAACTGGTTTCTTTCTGCCCCAATGGAAAGGATCCCTCTTCTTTGGCCATTGAAACCATTAGGTTCACTTTATTTGCTACTGCACATCCAATTTCCTTGGTTGGTCATATCTGAGGACAACTGCTAAGTCTCAAATGGTAAGAAAATACTGAAGTTTTGACATCAGTGAGACATACCAACAAGTCCCTTAGGGTTGATTCTGCTTCACAGTTGGGATGCCTCATCTCTCAAGCTGCAGTGAGTTCAACTCAGTCTGAGGCCTGGGATGGGGTTCCAACCAGCCCATGCGGAAGGACCGCACTGCCATGCCTTCCCTGCCCCTCAGCATGCACACTGCATACACCTAGAAGAAATCGCTCTGCAAACAGCCACGATCACAAGGTTTACACAAGAAAGACTTCTTATTGCATCTCTTCCCACATCAGGACCTGATACCGAGTCTTTGCAGCTCAGAGCATTCCTCCCTTCCTCCTCCTGCCCCAAGAGCCCCCAGAGCCCTCTCTCCTGGGCACATTCACCATGCAAGGCCGTGAGAGCTCACAGCAGATGCAGACATTTGACTGGTGCGTAGTGTCTCAAAGCAGTGTTCCGGTTAGGGGGCAAGGTGTCGTGGGGGTAAGGAGGTGGGGGCCTTAGCTGCACTCCATCCACTCATATTCTTTACGTCTTTGATGCATTTTCCTTCGGTAACCAGAGCCCCCAAGAGTGAGGGTTCTGATTCAGCCTTGTACCGACTGAGGAAGGAGATGGAAGAATTCCACTTAGCGGTTGGATCGGACATATTTGGAAAACACCAGCACAGCACAGAGATGGACAGCACAACCTGCCTTGTGTGGGTGGCTACCAACACAGTCTACAGTAAGCTTTTATGGCAATCACATGTAAACATGACCGAGAGCAAATACTAGGACAGAGCTACAATGAGATGGTTGCCAATGGCAGCTGCTCCCTCTGGGTTACTCCTCAATTTGATGAGAAAGAGACCAAGGTTGACTAGTTTTCCTGGAGAGACCTTGGAGTCTCCTTCATAAATAATACACAGCACCGAATGAGTCTTCCAGATAGAGGTTGTCTGCAGGGTTGGTCAATTTCAGAACTTGTAGCCTTTCATATACGGGATGGTGAGCAGAAACTGCTTGACGCCCTTGGCAGGCATCCTCTTCCATTAGTGTGCCCCAACCCTGATCTTAGGCATCACGTCCCAGTGCTATGCTCAGATCTCTGCTCTGCTCAAGGGCCAGTGTCTAACTACTTTTATGTGCCCTGTACTTATGTGAACTGGAAGGGGAGCTTCAGCTGACCCAAGAGAGAGAGACCCATCTTTACTAAAAGCCTGCATTTCTTTACTGTAAAGTACCATCTGCCCCTGGTTGAATCTCTGCCCTAGTGCAATCAAGGAAGAAGCAAATAGGAGGGTTTAGAGACCATCTAGTCCAACGCCTTCTAGCACACCGAGGCTCCGGGAGAGGGAGGGACTCTGTGACTTACCAAAGTCACAGAGTTAGTTCTTGGCGGAGCCAGGACTCAACCAGCTCTCCAGATTCTGAATGTAGAGTTCTTTCCTATTGGTTTCCACAGGATGAACTCTCAGTTTACTTGGTGCAAATCAGGACTTAGGGGAGGCATCAGATGGATTTAAATTCTATTCCATGCCATTCAATTCCATAACCACTTATTGTGTGCCTACAATGTGCTAGGCAGTGAATAGCTATAAAAGGAATTTAGAATGTTCAGGTCTGCGCTGTGAAAAGTCCCCTTTTTGGTCCATCCTTATAAGCCCTGCCTTTGCCAGGCATGTTCATGTCCACTCTTCCACTTGGCCCCCACCCCCAAGTGGGACTGTGTGTCACAGCAGTATTGGGAGTCCTGTGCCAAGCAATGGCTTTAGGGCAACTTTTTCCTCATAGATCAGGACATGATAGACAGGGGATGGGCCAGAATGAAACCCAGACACCATTTGGTTCTGTATGATAGAAACCTTTCAAAGATTAGACCAGGGTGTCAAACTCTAATCAATTACTAATGGCTGCTCAGAGCACTGTGTTGAGGATTGTAATAGCATGAGCAAACTCAAAGAACATGAGTGCTGTGATCGATTGGTTATGCCTGCCACTGGCCAAGGATGTGAGAGTAGTGGAATATGTGCCACGTATTTGCCATCTTGAGCTAGATACCACCTCAGCAGAAGCTAAGACTATCAGAGCTGGCAGGGACCTTAGAGATTAGCTCGCCTAATTCTCCCCCACAGTCCATTTCACAGAAAAGAAAATTGGGGCCCAGAGAGGGCAAATAACTTGAAACATAGGAGCTCAAATTCCCTGTTCCTTCTAATGCCTGTAATGCCTGTCTCCTCCAGCCTTCTCCATGGGCTTGGAGTATGCTTACCTCTCAGGAGAGGTTCATCAGCCCAGTTAACCTGCTGAGGTATTTGATAATCTTTAAAAGACAAAAAAATAAAAAAAAGAAAAAAGAAAAAGAAACCCCTCAAAAAAACCATAACTACCAATTCTCCAAGAAGTAGGCCTGGCATTAATATATTAAATCAGCCTGTTTAATGAGTCAAGTTCAAACTTTTTTTTTAAAGCAGCAGAACCTTTTTTCTTTCCTTTCCCTTTCTTTTCTCTTAAATACAAAAATTTCCCAAGGAACCCTGATGTGTGAAAGAGATCAAGTTGGAGCTGCTCTGTCTGAAGCAGAAGCAGTGTGCTCTTACCCTGCCTGGCCATGCTCTCCCTCATGAATGGCCCTCAAGGCACCCGCAGAACATCCAAGCTGGACGTGGCTTTGACATCAGTCAAGATCACAATGTTAAAGTAAAGCCCAATGAGAATGTTTTCTAAGTCAGAAAGGAGCTTGGAGATTGTCTTATCCATCCCCATCTCTCACACCCACTTCCTGCCCCCCTGCCGCATGCCACCAAAACAGCTTTATAGGTGAGGAAAAGGGAAGTCAAGATGAGGGAGTAGGGATGGGTTGATGGCTGGCCCAAAAAGGATGACTGCTCCCAGATCACCTCTCCATGTCACTCCAGGTGTGTCACTGAAGCTCTGATGGTGTGTCCAGAGGTGTAGGCAAATCACATGATCCCTTGGGTCAAGACTGGTGCCAGAGCCTGAACTCACCCAATGCTGGTAAAGTCAGCTGTTGACTTACCCCCCAAATGAGCCCATACGCGTCTAGCCTGTTGTCCATTTTAGCTGAACCCACCACTACCGGTCCCTACAACTTCGCCTCGTGACCCCAGGTACTGCAGGAGAATGGGACCAGGAGTCAGGAAGCCTGGGCTAGACTGCTGCTCTGTAGTCTCACTGGCCGTGGGACCTTGGGCAAGTCACTGCCTCTTGGGGTACTCTCTGCCTCGCCTGGAAAACAGGAATAATACACCTTCCTTCCAAGGTCCGAGAGCATCTAAACATGAACGGCCAGGCATAAACTCTAAAGTTTGAGCTGGGCACCAGATAAGGGCTCTGATTAGAAATGGACCCAAACTTGCTCTGGGACAGACAAGGCAGGGCTTGGCAGAAGAGGGAGGAAACCTCTCTGCACTGCTCCTGGTCGTGGCTGCACGCCGCGCCTCCTCGGCCACCAGCCTTCCGGCTACCCAGCACCTCTGGGGCACTCTGGCAAAGGGAGCAGTGCAGCTCAGTGGCAAACACCTCACGACAGTGCATAGTTAAAAAACCAAGGAAGCGATACAATAATCCCAGGTACAGTACATCTGAGCCATAAATACGTTATTTTAAAGATATACTTTTTTTTTCTTCAACTAGAAATGAGTTTATAATCCTGATTCTATTCACGAGTAACAATTTCATCATCACACACTACAGACAAGAAATGTTATGGTGAACACAGCTGCACGTCTACGAGGGGACGTCGGTCGGGGAGGAAGGGGAGGTGGGTGACGGAGCCCGCGTCTGGAGCCCAGCCAGGACAACCCGTCGGAAGCGAGGACACTAATGTGGCAGTGGAACGTCAACACCGTGGAAACTCACAGACAGAAGCAGCTTTGTTCAATGTAAACATTGATTTTTTTTTTTTAAAAAGGACAGCAGTTCCGAGTCTCTCTCTTTCTCTCTCTCACGCGCGCGCTCTCTCCTTCTCATACACTTAATTTCTTTGAAAACGTAAACATATTGGAAGGGCCTTGTCTGAGGTATTGAGGTATTCCTCGAAGGTTAAGGCTGTTATCAGTGCAGGCTCTGCTGGGCCTCCTTCAGTAAGCTGTCAAAATCCATGGCTTCATACTTGGTTTTCACTGACGCAGGCAGGGCCTCTTCTGAATTAGAATCTGGGCGGGGGTGGAGGAGTCAGTGAGAGGGGAAGGCAGTGAGCACCTGAGAAAGCCCAGCTGACCAGAAAATCTGCCATCAGGGTCAGCCCCACAGAGTGGATGTGGCCCGAGGCCTCAGGGAGCACTGGACAGTGAGCATTGGCTGGGCCATCCTGTGGGGACAGCCCTGCCATGTAATCAGTGTCTCAGGGCCTCGGCTGCTCTGCTTGTAGGGTGGGGAGGCCTGAGCTAGACTCTCACCCCAGCCCCAGAGCTCCTTTCCAGCTCCGAGACCCTCAAGTTCTACTGCCCCAAAGCTTCCTACCGATCAGGAAACCACTGTGGAGTTCACGTAAGGCAGCCAACGGAACTACAACACCCTCAACGTACAGCTGTGGAACCGGGTCCCCACAGTAGACATGCAGCCAGGTGGAGCCTGGCCTGGAAGCCTCCTGGGTCGCCTGACAATCAGCCCTGTGCGATGGAGGCTGCATCAGACTCTTCCCTACAAAGAATTCTCCCCTAAATTGTCCTTTGTTCTTCTTCACCAACTTGTCCCCAGATGGCGAGGGCATGGTGACAATATTGTTTCACTGTGGCCCATTAATGGACAAGGCTGTTGCCTGTCCGGGCCACCAAGGAGTGCCCCTCAAGGGGGCAGGGCAGCTACCGGCCCTGTGAGGTCAAAGAGACAGGAGACATGGTTCTGCCACCTGGCTGTGAACCCAAGATGGGGCCGTCCAAGAGGCCACAAGAGGCCTCCTGTCTTCGGTACCAGTCCTGGCACAGGACAAGGAGGACCAGAGGCCAGAGGAAAGACAAGGTGGCAGCCTCCAGGCCAAGTGGCTGCCAGGTTACACCCATCAGCACGTGGCAGCTGTGTCCAGAGGGGGTCACCGCCCCCAGGCTCTGGGTCTCACTGGGCGGTGGCGGGGCCCGCGTACTCACCGTAGTCGGCGTGGCGGGGCCAGCAGAAGTGCGGGAGCGCCCCGCAGCTCAGCTGGAAGGAGGGCTCACCGCGCGTCCGCAGGGCGGCGCCGTCCCGCAGGGAGAGGGCGGCGTGCTCGGAACACCGGTAGGTGATGAAGCCGCACTTGCCGCCTCTGCGGGGAGAGGACACGGGGCACGTTACTGGGCCGGCCTGGTGGACGCCGTCGGACCACCGGTTAACAGGGGAGGAGCGGGAAGCCACGATGGTTCCGATGGTTCCGTCGCTGTGTCACGGGGCCCCCTTAGAGACGGCCTCGGACATGGAATAATATTAAGAGCCCGCGATTTACAGAATGTTTGCCAGCTGCTGGCCACCACCCGTGACACTCTTCAGACCGCTCTGTCAGTGGGGGCTGTCACTTCCCTCTTGGGGGTGAGGTGGCATGGCTGTGAGTTCAGAATTTGCCCAAGGGCGAGTGGCAGAGCGGGGATTCAAACTTGGGCCTCCTGCCTCGAAACTGATGCTCTTCAAACTCCAATCAGTCTCCCTTATGACGCCCATACTCTGGGATTCACCATGCCTACGCCCCCATTACCCCGCCCACACCCTTCAAACCCAGCCTCAGCCACCACTTCCTTGGCGGCTACCGTGGCCTTCACCTTCCCCCGTGTTGCTGTGCAGTCATCCTTCAAGGGGGATGCGCGTCGTGTCTGCCTGCTCAGCATCCACTTCCCCTCCCCTGACGACGGCGCCCCATGCTTAGCCAGGCTCCGGGCACCAGGGTAAGGCACACGACAGGAGCCCTCTTGGCCACAGTGATTTGATCAAGAATGAGCCCGTGAACCAAAGTAGAACCCCAAAGACTTCATCCCAGGTCTTTGCTGGAATCGTGAGGGAGACTTCTGCTTCTCCGGGTAGAAGGTAAGCTTAGAGCTCAAGGCAGCCACTTTGCTCTCATGAGGGAAGCCTGCCTGAGAAGGATGCCAAGGTGGGGAGGACCTAAAGTCAGTTCTACCCTTGACTCATCAGTTCCACAAACAGTTCTGTCTGCTACGGAGACTCCTCCAGGACAGAGACAATGTGGACTTCTCAGCACTCAGGACCAGCTTACCAACAGTGGGGGACTAAGAAACATTCAAATGAATCACCTTTGCTGACACCTCTCTGACTAAAGTTGGAACCCTTCTGCCTCTTTATATGTCTGAGGCTCATGCATACTTTAAAAATTTTAACAGATTGACTATTCTCCTTAGAGATTAATTTGCTTGCTTTGTTTTTACATGCTAACTTCACTTGACATCCTGAAGACGGCACAGAACTTAAAACAGTTCTATTTGTGTAGTAATTCTTTTTAAAAATTGTGATTCAAAACACATAACATTAAATTTACCATCTTTATTACTTTTAAGCATACAGTTTTGAAGTGTTAAGTATATTTATATTGTTGTGTGATGGATCTCCAGAACTTTGCAAAACTGAAACTCTGCATCCATCAAACAACAAGTTCCTATACCTGCTCTTCCCAGCCCCTGGATACCACCATTCTACTTTCTGTTTCTATGAATTTCATTATTTCAGATACCCCATGTAAGTGGAATCACGCAGTATTTGTCTTTTTGTGACTGGCTTATTTTCACTTAGCATAATGTGCTCAAAGTTCAACCATGTTGTAGCATGTGACAGGACTGATTCCCTTCCTTTTAAAGATTGACTAATAGTATTTAACTGCACACGTATACATTTTGTTAATCCATTCACCTATCAACGGACAGTCAGGTTGTTTTCGCCGCCTGGCTGTTGTGAATAACATGGATGTGCAAATATCTCTTCAAGATCTTGCTTTCAATTCTTTTGATTACACACCCAGAAGAAGAATTGCTGGATCAAATGGTAATTCTATGTTTAATTTTTTGAGGAAACTCCACACTTTTCCACAGTGACTGCACCATTTACATTCCCACCAGTAGTACACAAGGGTTCCTATTTCTCCACATCCTCACCAACACTTGTCACTTTCTGTAACCACCCTAAGGGATGCGAGATGTGTTGTGATTCTTACACAGAAATGATTTTCTTGTTAAAGTTTTGAAACATTAGTATTAAATTAGAGTTTTAAAACCTCAGTAACTTAGTTTGCAAGTATGATGGGAGATCCTTCAGAATTATCTCAAAGCCAACAGTTTTGATATTTAAGTTGTGCATTTATACACCACCTACTCTTGCAGATCCCCTGACAGATGAAACACTGCTTCCCCAGGTGAGTGAGGAAAAATCAGGGCTGACCAGCAGAAGGGAAGGCCAGACACTGGTAGCTGCAGAGAAGGGAGGGACGAGCAGCATGGGGCTTATAGTGAACTGAGATCCCAATGCAAGTGTGCCTTCAGTCACCAGGGGCTTGTGGGCCCCGACCAGGCTGAGAGTGGAAAACCTGAAGCTGACACATGGGCTGCAGATCTGCCTCTGCCACTAACTATCTGCTCAGTTAACGCGTCTGAGCTCCCCAGAAAGGAGAGCAATAGAAGGAATAAGAGCGCACATGTCACAGGTGTGTTGGAAAGTTTACGTAACAGACTGCATGGAAATTGCCTCACACTTCAGCAAATTATCAGTTTGTATTTGTTGCTATTACTGGGCTGCACGATTGTTACTGGTCCTTCCTTCTCCTGCGCCTGGTGGTAGATTTCTTCACCAAATCTTCTCGAGCATCTTCTGTGTGGCCTGAATTGGGACCTCTGCGCCCTCACTCCCCTCCCTAGCTAGAGCCTGACTCACCTCTTGCTTCTCGTCAGCACCTGGCACTCCACAATCTCGCCAAACACTTCGAAGCGTCTCTTCAGCTCGTGGGAGCTCATGTCGCTGGAGAGATTTCGAACGTACACCACGCGGCCTTCGCCCTGCCCGAGGGAGGACACAGAGAAACTGGTCATCATTGCCTGGCTTCCCAGAGCCCCCTGGTGGGGGGGCTCCCTTGGGGTCCTCGTCCCCAGTCCAGGTGGCCTGGCTGAGTCAGCGATACCAGCTGGGGCTGTGGGCAGAGAGGGGACAATGACGGTAGCTATCCCAGACGCCCTGCCCTGTGGGCGGAGGGGGCTGTGGAGCGGCGGATCAGGTCGTGGCCCCAAAGGAAGCAACTGCTTACTTGCAGGAAGTGAGCAGACGGGGCGGGAAAAGGAGGAGTCATCACCATTAACGTAACTGCACGCTCAGTAGCTTCTGTATTTGTTTTGAGTTTGACTTTTTCTGGCAGTCGGGGAGGCACTGGGGTGGAAGGGCAAGCTGCCGAGGAGGGTAATGGATGAGCCCTGGGACCAGGTCGCTATGGCTCAGAGTAGGCTGGGAGGAAAGCAAGGGGACAAGGGCATCAGGCTTGGAGCCATCATTATTTTTGCTTTTGGCAGCGTACTGTGTAGACACAGACCAAGAGGTCACCTTCAGGGGATCTTGGTGCCATGTCCCTAGAACTGCCCAGTAGAGGAGGGGAGGGGAAGCCCAGCTGGAACCTCCCCTCCTCTCCTCTACCATCTGCGACTGGATCCAGTCAAAGCCACGGCTATTGGAAGAGTCCCTTTGACTTGCGGGAGGAACTCCAGCCATGTTCCTGGACACCTGTGCTCTGGTGGGCAAAACCACCAGCTTTTGGTTTAGACAGGCTTTCTCCAGGAACAGGTTAAGGCCAGTGACTCTCTAGCCATTCCCTTGTGCACCCCAGAGGGCAGAGAGGAAAGCACGTGCCCTGCTGCACAGTCCCAGGAACCGCACGTCCCACCCCAGGACAGCCTGAGTCCAGCTCAGTGTACAAATGCCCTCCCCCAGCCTCCTCCAGCTCTTGAACTCACAAGGCCCTTGCCTCTGCCCCACTGTCCTCCTGATCTTTGCTTGGTTGGCTCCTTTCAACCCCCAGGGCCCAGCTCCATGCAGATGCCCCTCCCAGACCACCACGTAAATACATCCTCCCCACTAGTCAAAACATGACTGCTGTTTTCAGGCGTTTAGTAGTGACGTAATTAATTTCACAGTGCACCTCCCAATGTGTAATCACAGTGTTTACTGCTTTGTTCACGGGCCTGTTCTTTCGCTCCCTTCTGGCCCAAGCATGGGAGTGGGGAACTTGTTTGTCTTATTCACTGCTGTCATTCAAGGTCTAGAGCAGTGCCAGGCATGCTGCAACAGCCGAATGGTCACACATGGATTCCAAGAAGACACTCCATGTGTTTTTAAGTACCTGCTTGCAGATAGCCGCGTACCTCTGGGGTAGGAATACCTTGTGTGTCCCTACCACCCCGCCCCGTCCTAAAGCACCAAGTCCAGGTGAAAAGAATCTAGTGAGAGTCTATGCGTCTTTTCATGCTTCTGTCTTACTTTTCCTTCCTTCCTTTCTAGTGACTTGGAGGGGCTGCTCCAGGTCCCTGCTACAGCTTCCTGATGAAACCTCTCTGCAGGGTACTTTGTAGTGGGTCCACTGGGCATAGCCTGGGCCTCTGGACTAACTCTGAGGGAGGATTAGGGAGGCGGGTCGGGAGGAAGGGACAGGCTCTCTCGGTCTCTTAGCTCTAATCAAGCCAGGGGACTCTCAGGAGCACAAGGCCCAACACCTTTGTGTGCAGATGAGTAAACTGAGGCTCAGGGAAGCGGGGGGAGCTGCCCAAGGTCACACAGAAGTGGAGGCAGGGCTGGTTGGAGGCCTGGTCGGGCTGGCTCTGCTCCCCCATCACAGCCTGCCCCCCCGGGGGGCCTCGTCGAGCCTCTGACTCTTAGCCCTGAACCACCACCAACTACACGCCTCCCAGCCAGTTTCTTGGCTGCATTTTGCACGGTGCCACCTTTGACGCCCTTGGGGATCCTTGCTTTTAAAAATGACAGAAACAGAATTATCTTCTACAGGCCACAACCGACCCCAAAGGGCTTCCGGCCTGCGAAGCCCCAGCACTTCCGGATGCCCCTGCCGGTCCCCGTTCACGCGGGGCTCTGGGGCCCCAAATCACTTACAATGGCCTTTTCCCGCCGCTTCCTGGCGTGCCGGACGCTTGGCATTCCGTCTGAACACGACCCTCTGCTCCCACATCTGTCAGTGAACAAGCAAAGCAGAGGCACTCACTCTCAGCAGGGACCACGGCGGGCGGAGGCAAGGGATGCTTCTTCAGCTCCTTTAGGACTCGTTCATGAGGGCAGGACTATGAGCAGGCCCTCCTGCAGAAGCCCAGCTTCCCCCCGGCAGCGGTGACCGCCCAGGGCTGTGTGGGGGTCTGAACACTGTGCCCAACACAAGCCTTCTGCCAGCTTCTGGGATGAGATCCCGGAGAACCACCCTTGGGAACCTTTCTATGCCACTGTGGGTAGAAAGCCCCTTTCACTTCATTACGGTATTTCACCCGGTGAAAGTCATCCTATGAGGTCTTATGTTTCCCCATTTTTCAGATGAAAACCCTGAGGCTCAGGTTCAACATGAAATTTGCCCAAAGCTAGAAAGTGGGGGAGCCAGAGCCGGAGAGAGGCACCCTCCCGTGGGTGGTGCCCAGCCAGGAAGCAACCCCTGCTGTCACAGCCCCAACATCCAGGCCAGCTAGCAGGCTGATCAGTCTGGATGCACAGCCTGAGGCGGCTCCTGTCTGCACACTACCCTCTCCTCCTGAGGGCCAGGCAGCTGGAGTGGAGGGAGCACGGCCACACGCTGCCCACGTCCTGGGAAATACAGCAGAGGATGACAGCAGGGGTTCTGCAGTCGGGCAGCCTGTGCTGAATCCTGACTGTACCCACCTCCCTGCTGGGTGACCTTGGGCTGGCTACTTAAGCCCTCAGCTCCAGTTTATCTGTAAAATAGAGAGAATCAATTGTATCCGCCTCCTCGGCCACTTGGGAGGATCAAATCAGAACATACATATGAATGCTTAGCCCAGGAAGGGCTCAATAACTGCTGGCAATATTTTTCTATTGAACCTCTTTGAGCCTCAGCTTCCTCATCTATAAAATGGGGATAAGAAGCAGACTCACCCTCCAAGTACATTTGTGAAGTTCATGTACGATAAGAGAAGGAGGTGTGACTTGCGAACTCTAAGGTGCTCTACAATAACAGTATCACCATCCATCTGCAATGGAACTGGCAGTTTCCCCACCTAAAGAGCTGAGAGTGACTGGAAGGCACTGTGGGGCTTGGGGTTTGCATTGTTAAACCAGCTCCAAGTGCTCCCCATTGACCACTGTGTGGTAGCAGAAGCACATGTTGGTCTGGTGAAGGCTGATGACTACTTTCTCAGGCTTACCAGCCACCAAGCTCTGCCAGGCAGCTGAGCAGGAGCTGAGTTAATCAACCCACCTTCTCTAGTGGTAGAAAAAGCCAGCCCTGAACGTGGCCCAAAAGCAAGAAGAAAAAAAGGAGAATCCGTGGGGGTTTCGAGACAGGCTCCCAACTCTTTGCAGGCAAGCCCATGGGGACAGGCTCTGAGCAGGTCAGGAGGGAAAGGAGGCTGAGAAGCTCCAGCTCCGGCCTCGGGGGTGCACCTCACCAGGAGGGGAACCTCAGTAGCTTCTGAGCAGGCACACTGCAGAGGAAACTGCCTAATGTGAACACGAGGAGGGCTAGCTCACAGCGACCCCCGGGGAAAAGAGAACAGAGCTGGAAAGAGGGCTCAAAGAGGCCTGACAGAAGACAGCTTGACTGTCCTGGCTGATTATATAGAAGGGCCTTTAGAGAAATTGCTCAAAATGAGTTCTTCTTGAGTTCAGGCCTTCATAACATTAGTGTCTGGTGAGTCCATGAATCCCCAAAAACTGAATGCCCACTTGGACATCTATGCACATCTTAATGAGGAAAAGAGGTTTGCTTTAATCAGATTTTCAGCTAAGAGCCACTGGTAAAGATAAGTAAATACAAAGCTGGATTTTTCTAAGAAAAAGTATCTTTCTATTACCTGAATTCTCCTTCTCAGAGTATGGCATTCTGGCGATGTCATCATTACCCGGGAACTTATTAGAAATGCAAATTATCCACCCCCTTGCCGTCCAGACCTACAAAACCAGACACTCCAGAGGCGGGGCCCAGCCGACTGCAAGCTAACAAGCCCTCCGGGTGACTCTGCAGCACTGCTCTGGACTCAAGAGCACCCCCTAGTGGTCACTCAGGCGCATCTCGGCAGAGGGTTTGGGTTTGGAGGGACCCGTACCCACCCTCCATCGGTCTCCCCCAGGAAGAGCCAGGTCCTGCTGTGATCAGGGAGGGAAGCAACCTGTCTCCACCAAAATAGGCCAAACCTCAGTTCCTTCTGCCCAGCTCCCCGCTGACTTCTGGACTGTTCCCTTCTACAGTCCGGTTCAGTGAGCAAACAAGCTCATGACACATCATCCTTGTGCGAAGAGCTCCCACGGGGGTGGCTGACTGCGCAAGTCAGCAGCACCAAGAAATGGAAACAACCTTATCGCCGCTTTAAATCCAGGTATTTTTTAGAACACAGGCTACAATTATGTGAATCTTTCTTTTATACATAAATATTACATAGGTATCACACTGCGTGGGTATGTTGACCCTCGAACAACATCGGTTTGGACTCTGTGGGTCCACTTACACTGGGATTTTTTTCAACAGCAAACATAATAGCACCAGGTGGCTGGTCGTTAGTGGTTGAATCTGCGGATGCGAGGAACCTCGGACAAGGAGGGCCGACTGTAAATATTCCACTGTGCAAAGGGAACCCTCACCTCGTTCAAGGGTCAACTGTATATGCTTATTTACCCGCAAACCTATCCCCTTCATAAATGCAAAAGCAGAAACAGATGAATAAGGGGCAAGTTCCTTCAGATACAAGGCCACAAAGAGTCGGACAGTGGGTTTTCTTCCTCCCCTGAGGCCAGGGGACTTGGGCCACTCCAGCAGAGTTAGGGCTCTGTTAGCCTCTAGGACTTGCCCAACTCCCCCAAGAAAGTCCACCTCCAAAGCCTCTGACCAGGACCCAGAACACACAGGGAGATGTAGCCCCAGTTTCAGGGCTCCTCTCTTCCCTGACACCCTGGAACCGGGATACTCGGCTGCCCCACTGTCCCTCCTGAGGCCACCCACCCATCTATACCTGAAGGTCCTCCTTGTGGCTGGTGACCGGGAGCGGCAGGATGAGGAGCCGGAGCTGGAGCGGCTGCGGGAACAGAGCTGCTGACTGGCCTTGCTTGGTGGGCTCTGGTAGGGGCAGTGGTCAGAGCGAGGGGGACTGACCCCTGAGTCCTCTTCTTCATCGTCATCCTCCTCCTCGTCGTCCTCTTCCTCCAGGAGGAAGCTGCTCTCGCCACTGCTGCTACTGCTGTCCTCAAAGACAGTGTCATATTCGGGGCTCTTGCAGGAGGCCAAGTCTTCGTCCTCCAAGGCTATCTCCAGGAGCCCAAAGTGCTTGGTGAGGCTGGCGCGGATCTCGTGGTCTCTCAGCAGCGTACTGTCCCTGCTGGGGGCACCGACGTCACAGCTTCTGTCTTCCACCCTGTCAGAGGCCTGTGCTTCAGCCCGTGGGGCACCTCGCTGGGGCCAATCCTCAAGGTGGACCCCAGACGGCTCCCAGGACCTCAGCACCTTCCTCTGCAGGGCGCCTTCTGGCTTGAGCACCTGGCAGTAGTCGTGGTCTCCAAAGGAACAGGAGAAGGGGCGCTTCTGACCAGCCTGGGAGGCTGGCTGGGCTGTGGCATGCTGCAGGTGGGACAGGAGCTCGCTCCGCTCTGGATGCTTCTTTGGCAGCTTGTGGGCGGCCCCTGTGATGGCCCCAAGCTGGAGGCCCTCTGGGGCGAGGCGGCTGGGAGCTATGTCTTTGCCTGGGCTGCGCTTGATGTCCGGCTTGAAGGGGTCCTCCTCTGTGGGCTTGTATGGAGGCGTGGTGGGTGGCGTGAGTCCTACCCAAGAAGGAAGAAAAACGTGAGGGAGAGACAGATCACTTCTCCAAGGGACACTGAGATCCTAGCTTGGGATGGCTAAGAAGTGGTATATGTGTCACCACTCCCCAAACCTACTGGATGGGAGGAATCACTAATCGATCACTGCATTTCTGGCCGAGCCCGGACGTAGCCTGGGACTCCTTCTCACACAGTCTGTCAACAATTTCTCAGAGCTGGCACGTGGTGAAATCCATCCCTTCTGTAGCCTGGCAATGGTAGCCAAAGCCTCCAGGTCACCTGAGATCCCTTTTCCTGCTCCACAATCATTCATTCCACAAACCCTTCCAACTGGTCCTCCCAAATAACTCTGATATCCCCCAGGGTGTAGAGGGAGCAGGTACCACGGGTAAAACCTGCCACCTGGATTTGACCACCACAGTGATCTTAGTGCTCCTGCACCTGACCTTGGCTTCCATCCTCCCCCAGGTACCAGAGGGAACTTGCCAGAATGCCAGGGGCCTCCTCCTCTCTGGGGTTCCTGAAGCCAACAGGATCTAGATGAAACCCTTCAGCCAGGCGTTCCACTCAGCCTTTGGTGGATGCTCTTGCCTGACCCCCCAGTTCCGCCACAGCACGGCACAGGTGGCCAGTCTTCTCAGAAGCACCTATACTTTTGCTCCTTCACGCCTTTGCTCATGTCGATTCTGCTGCCAGGGATACCCTTGCCTTTTTTTGTCTCTCCAACTTTTACTCATCTTGCAAGCCCAGCTCAGATGCCTGCTGCTCTGGGTATCCTGTGAATCTTCCCAGGCCACATCCTGCCCCTCCCCATCCTGGCCCTTCCTCTGTGCTCCCAGAGCTCTTGCACAGTCTTTGGAACTAGCACAGATCAAACAGTATGTGTCCTGGTGTGAGTCTGTCTCCCACATAAGACTGCGGGCTCCTTCGGAGGAAGACATGTCTCTTTCTATTCACATCAGGTCACGTGCCAATTGTTTGCAGCTGAACAGCTGAGCCTCAGCCCCACTCTCCTTATAATGCCCTCAATGTGCATCTCAAGACCAGGTGTAGCCTGTGCAGCGGTGGCAAGGAGGGCTTGTGGGGCACCCCCTTACTGCCCAAAGGGCTGCTCTCCCAAGGGCACCCCACTAGCTGAGCCCCCGGCTCACCTGCCGTGCCACAGAGCTCCACCGTCAAGGTCTGCTCGAAACTCTTCTTGCCAAAAGGGGGGTCACCGGTGGGGCTAGGGAGGACAGGAAGGGAAGAGCCCAGTCAGCAGCAGGCTCCACCTTCCCAAGCAGGAAGGCAAGGGGACATTGTGACAGACCCTAGTTCTGCTGCCCAAGAAAGCGGGGTCTGGGAACAATTTGCAGGGACCTCCCTCGATCCTGGCTGTTAAAGAAACTCAAAGCTACGTAGGTCTTTTAGGAAATATGGGAGAGATCTGCTGGAGATGCAGACAGGACAAGCATCATCAGCCTCCTTATTTTACAGACAGAAGCCCTGAGGCCCAGAGAGGAGAAGAGACTTGCCCAAAGCCGCACAGCATTATCAGCTTTTCCCCATGAAACTCCCCATATTTCCCCTGGGCCTGTGGAGACCAACTTCTAAAAACAAACTCCCTTCTAAGAAGCCCAGCTCCTACAGAACCACCCAACAATCAACAAGACAAGATCTCACAGAATAGTAAACTGACAATTTCTAAAAAGCTACCTTTGTGACAAGGCCAGCATGAGGCACCGGGGAGAGTCTGAAAAGAAGACAAAAAAGAAAAAAAAGATAAGATTCCCCAACATAGCATTGCTAGCAGATGCTTCCCTCTGTAAGAGACCCTGAATTTCATCGGTACCAAGCACAGCTTCCTTCGGGCATGTGACCCAAACACCTTAGAGAAGGGCAGGAACAGCTCAAATCCACCTTCATTCCCACACTCAGCACCATCAACTGCGGGCCGGTCCACTGGATGGTGCAGAGTCGGTGGGTACCAGGGCGACCCCTTCTGGCCAGTCAGGGTAGCACAATGGTGAAGCGTTCTAGTTCCCAGGGCTGTGGGCTCTGCCCCATGTAGAGGCGGGACTGACTGGCTGAACTGACCACTACATCTCTGTGCCTCGTTTCTGTGTCTTCATACGGGAATTACAACTGTACCGACCACACAGGCTTCCTGTGAGGATCAACGGGGATAATCTGCCTTAAGTCAGACTGATAATAAGTATAAAATAGGTAACTATTGCATTAACCACTATGGTTACCACATCGTCACCCAGGAAGTCTCCCCTAGAGCACTTATCACAATTTGTAATCATCTTCCTTTTTTGCTTACTTTTTGATTGCCCGTCTCCCTCACTGAAACAAGCCCCACGAAGACAGGCATCCTGTTCCTTGTACATTAAGTGGCACCTGGCCCGTACATGATGAGAAACTCAGAGATGTGGGGGGATTCCTGAAGGTCTGCCCAACGGCCCATTGCACAGGAAGGGAAATTGAGAGCCAGAGAGGGAAGGGATTTGCCCAACACAGGGCTCCTGGTTCCCGTGCAGTGGTGTGTGCCACACCCTGGCCCTGCCCCCCACCTCTCGGACCACCGACTCGGACTACCTCTGGAAGGGATCCGCAGGCAGCTGGGGTCCTCATCCGTGTCCCCACACCCGCTCTCACAGGGGCTCTCCAGAGCTGGGATCTGGGGTCCCCGTAGAAGCTGCTGGTCTTGGCCACTGTCCTCATCCGTGGGGCTGCCCAGCTCCCTGTCCACGTCCTTGGGAGCCAGACACAGTGAGGGCAGAGCCCCTCGGGGCTCCTCAGGGACCAGCGGCTCATCGGTGAACGTGAGCCAGGGTCCCAGCTCAGGGTTCAGTCTCCTTGAACGCCGCACAGGGCACACAGAGCTCTCCTGCTTCTTCCCCAGCTTGGTCCACGGCAGGCCTCGGCCTAGCCTTTTCCGGCCCCACTCCTCCTCCTCCTCCTCTTTTTCTTCTTCCTCCTCCTCCTCTTCCTCCTCCTCTTCCTCCTCTGGCTGCAGCCTGGCCGACCGGCCGACGTGCCCTTTTACTTCCAGCCGCAGCGGGCGCAAGCTGGGTCTGGGCCCCGAGCTCTTGGGAGAAGCCGAGACCCTCACCTCCTCCACAGGGGACGGGTGGCCTGGGGAGGCCTGGCTGTCTTTGGGCCTGGGCCGTGGCCGGGGGGTGAGGGAGGCATAGACAGGTGTGGCCAGGCGGTAGGGTTTGCTGACATCACAGAGGACATCCTGAGCCAGAAGTTCCCTCAGGATAGAGAACTCAGCCCAGGTGGCTTTGGAAGGGTACTGGGGCCGAGGCCGGGGTCTGACCTGCTTGGAGGGGCTGCTGCAGGGCTGGGGGGCTGGCTCTGGGGCCTGTGTGGGCAGCTTCCTCTGGGGGAGGCAGTAGGTGTGCATGTAGCGAATGAGCTGCACCATGGCCTGCATGTCCTCCTGGGAAACCTGGGTGCCGAGGCCTGCCTTGCCTAGTGCTGCGGAGTCCCTGGGAGAGGCTGGAGCCAGCTGGGGGCTCAAGCAGTCTTCGCCCACCTCCTCATCCTCTTTGGCAGGAAGCCGAGGACTCAGGGGTAGTGATGGCCGCAGACCTCGATCTGGGGAGCGGGCTTTAGCCCGGAGACAGGATGGCACCGAGGTGAGGTGCTTATGCAGTTCTGAGCAGCTCCGGCTCTGAGACTGTGGCGTGGGGGTCTTCTTGTCTTGGGTGCTGTCCATCTGGAGAGGGAAAGAGGCCAGAGTGAGGAGGGAGGCCCACAAAACTTCTCCCCACAGCCCACCCCTGCAGCCACCAGCCAGACCCAGGGTGTCTCACCTGGATCACCGGGATTGCCAGGTTTCATCCACTTTATCCCCAGCTTCCAGCACAGAGCCTGGCACCTGGCAGTGCTCAGGCGATGAGGAATGAAGGAATAGCCAGCCTCCTACTAGGCCTCCCAGTGGATTTCACCCTTTCCAGACTTACTGCCAAAGCCCTGCGCTGACTATTCGGCTCCTCTGCACATAGCCTTCAGTGAGAGCGCCAGGAAGTACATTAGTGGTTGCCTGGGGCTGGGCGTGGGAACAAGGATTAGCTGTAAACAGGGACACTGGGGATCTTCCTGGGATGATGGAAATGTTCTAAAACTGGATTGTGGTCATGGCTGCACGACTCTGTAAATTTACTAAAAATTACTGAATCATTTCTAAAGTAGGTGCCTTTTATGATATGTAAGTGGCACCTCCATAAAGCTGTTAAAAAGGAAAAAGAAAAAGAAAAAGAAAAAAGGAAAACTCAGTAGCTTCCCAGTGCCCACAGGATGAAGGGGAGGCCTCTTGGCCAGGTATTTGGGGTGCAGTGCAATCTGGCCCCAGCCAACGCTCTCTGCAGCCTTATCTGTCTCCACTTGTCCACACAGAGGCTTTGCTCCCAGTGCAAATGTCTCTTTGCTGGAGCCAGACTGGCTGTCAGGTGTGTCTCGTTCCCCTGGTGTGTGTCCTAGGCTTCCAGAGGGCAGGATGGCTCACAAAGGCGCTTAGCTGCTGTCCCCTTGACAAAACAGAACAGGAGGGGTGGACCTCTGCCTTGGGAAGCCAGTGAGGACAGGCAGGGAGGGGGCACAGGGAGACAGTCCCCACCCAGGGGAGCCCAGGCAGAGGACAGGCTCCCACACTGAGCCACTGTCTGAGAAAGATGCCATCTTGATTCTGCCCCGAGGATGTGGGATTGTCCCGCAGTCCCCGCGGGAGGGTCTGGGGACAAGAGGGAGGGGTGAGTGCAGGCTCTGGGTGATAGGAACACCAGGATAACATCTCCGAAGCCTCTCCTTGGAAGTGTCTGAAGATGGAGCCCGAGGAGGAAAGGGGACCTGCTTTCCTACTGAGTATTCACAACAGAGTTTTCAGCTCTCTGACGGCTTCTCACAAGAGAAATCCAAACTCTTTACTGTGGTCTCCACAGTACCAGCGAGGATCTTATGTTTTGGTCTGTCAATCCATTAGAATAAGCCTCCTGAGGGCAGGCCACATCGTCCTTGTCCCTGCTCTAACCCAGCGTCTGACACAGTGCCTGGAACACGGAGGTACAGTTCATTCTTGAACAACGTGGGGCGTTAGTGGGGACAGACTGGCCACACAGTGGAAAATTCGCGCATAACTTAGCCAGCCCTCAGCATCCGAGGTTCCTCTGTATCTGTGGATTCAGCCCATCAACTAGCATTTACTACTGAAACAAAACCCACATATAAGTGGACCTGTGCAATTCAAACCCATGGTGTTCAAGGGTCAGCTGTGCAGGAAGAAGTTCAGGACTCTTTCTAGAACCTCAGACTGGCCTGGGTCTCAAGCAGCGCCCAGAACATCAGTTTCAAGGGTTGTGTGAGGAACAAGAAGGGAAAGTGGAAGTAAATGACCTTGATATCCTCGAATGAGAATGGAAGGGTGCACGCCCAGCGCCCCCCGGAGGCCGGGTGGGCTTGGGGGCATAGGCAGAAATACCTTGACACAAGGCCGCTGACTTTTGGACCTGAGGCTTGCCTGGCGCCAGATGGTCCCTTCCTTCTGGGTGTCGGAGGCTGAGGTTGGGTACGACGTGGCGAGGAGGAGTTTCTGCAGCTGTGGGAGGAGCAGAGAGAGGAGCTGGGGCTGAGACGCAGCCAGAGACCCGAGGAAGCACATCTCGGGCAGAAGCCTGGCCCAGAGCTAGCCCCTCAGGACTGACCATGCCCTGACTCTCATCATCACTGTGGAAGAATACTGGGGGGGAACAGTTAGTAACCTAGAACATGTTCCCAACATATTAAGTACAGAAAGCAAGTTGTCTAACAATTCCAAACACACACAGGGATCCTAATAAAATATAAATCCTTTTCAGAGATAATAACCCAAGAGGAATGAATATCTGTGATTTCGAGAAACCCAAAGAGATCTTGGGTGATGCCTGCCCATTCTGTTGAAATATGATGCGTACACTTGATTCAGACACTCTGTATATACTTGTAATACACACACACGCGCACACACACACACATGCACATACACCACGCATGCACACACAATCTGGACAGTTAGGCCCCACAATGATTCTTTAGTGTAGGATTTCAGCTGATTTCTTTTTGCTTATTCACATTGTTTTGAGAATTAATTTCTTACATTAAATAAGTAATACTTACAAATGGTAATATATATATATATACCTCCCAAATACTAATGGGTGGACAATTAGAAGCAAGTCTCCCTCCTGTCCAAGGTCCCAGAGGCAACACCTGTTAACTGCTTTCTCGTGGCCCTATCATGACATGGAATTCGATCATGGAAGAATATATATGTACACATCACCTCCAACTCAGACAGCTGTTTTTACACAAGCATAAGCACACTACACTTGAGCAGGTCTAGATTTTCTATTTTTTCTGTAAAAGTTGCTGAGTCTCTTACACTTCTGCACCTGGAGGGCAGGTGCTCAGCGTATCCCAGCTGAGAGAGCAGGGCGCTGAGTGCGCCTGGGAGTTTCACCAGGGACCCTACCACAGCCAAGGCTGAGAACAAGTCAGGAAGCGTGATGGACTTTTGCTATAGCACTGACTGTTTCCTCGGGGGACACTCTCCCCAGGTCACCCAGCGAGGATTGCCAAAGACCCAGGAACCAGAGAGAAGGCCACTCCCTACTCCCCTAGGAGCTGGAGGACCCACACCACCCTACCTAGACCCTAGACCAACATATGCATGCCTGTGATTCTTTGATGTGGACTGGAAAAGAAAAACCCGGACTAGAGAAAAGGGACCTGGTTCTGATCCAGCTCTGCCTCAACTCACTGGGAGACTGTGGGTGAGTCCTTACTCTCTCCCGGCCTTGGTTTCTCCAAGGTGGTATATATGTATGTGTGTGTGTACAAAACAGGGGCAGGCCAACTAAATGAGTGGATAAACTTTTTTTTGGGGGGGGGGAACTCAGGGGTCCTTCTAGGAATATAACAGAAATTGCTGACCTCAGAAAAAACACAGATATTTATGGAGAGGTCCATGGGTCCCCGTCAGTCCAGAGGTGGACTCTCTGGGACCCATGATTCCAGGTTAAGCATCAGGTGTCTGTATAAATTCTCAGGGCCTTTCCAGGACTCTGTTGGGATGCTGGGAGTCTAGATGGTGATCTGTTTCCTATGTGCCTAGCACAGTGCCTGAAACAGAAGTGCAGTCTAAGGCGTGAGGGAACAATCAGTGACCAGCAGGGGTCGCTCTCTGCCTCTTCACGGCGTGGCTTTCCAAAGCCCCACGCAGAATTCCTCTGGTTACAAACTACGACTACTACGGACTGTTAAGTAGATAGCATTTATTGAGCCACTTCTTTGTGCCAAGCACAGTTCTAAGTGCTTTTCATGTATTATCTGTTGTACTCCTCCCAACCGCCTTTGAGATAAGCACTATTATTAACCCCACCTTGTAGACCAGGAAGCTGAGTCAGAGAGAGGCTAGGTGCCTGAGGGCCACACAAGCATTCATTGGTGGGGCTGGCATTCAAACTCAGGCGGTCAGATTCTAGTCTGAAAGGAAGCACGACCCTCATCAGCAGGAGCCACGATGTGGAACTGAACATACCCTTGTGTCCAGCACACACAGGTCCTTACTAAATGTTTTACCCTGCTTTGGGGAACCTAAAGGCAGTGGGAAAGAGGGAAAGGGGTCCTGGACCAGGAGTTAGAATACCTGGGTTCTAGTCTTCACTGACTTGCTGTGTGACCTTGGGAGAGGCCCTCCCCACTCTAGGCCTCAATTTCCCCAGAGTGCACTTGATGGTCACCAGCTCCAACAGGCTGATTTTCTGGCTGAGTCTTGCCAGCCCCTAGGAGCTGCAGCACCGAGGTGAGGAGCCCCAGACAGGTGAGCAAAGCTGGATTTCACAAGCCAGGATATCTGAGCTCCTGGCACCCTTAGCCTGAGTCAAGGGCAACAGCTTTCAGCAACTTCTGAGGTCCAGATCCCTTTGGGTACCTGAGAAAAGCTGAGACCTTCTCCCCAGAAATCTGCAATTCCGTGTACACATTTCCACATTCCACATACACTCTGCATTTAACTTTTGCTGGTGGAAGTACGAACTGGTCCAACCTCTTTAGAGGACAAGCTAGAAGTATTTGTCTAAACTGAAAAACCACATATCCTAAGACCCAGGAACCCCTTTTCTAGGACTTTATCCATTTACACATGGCAAAGGCCTGTGCCAGACACAGACTACAGCACGGAACAATAAAGGAGTTGAAACATGTAAACATTCACCGACCAGGGGACTGGTTAAAGAAGTAACGGTATATCCTTATGAAGGAACATTATGCAGCCAACAAAGAAGATAAAACAGAGCCACCTCTGCTCATCTGGAAGTTTCCGAGACACATAGTTCACTGAGAAAAGCAAGGTGCAGAACAGTGTATAATGGAGACTCCCTTTTGTAGTAAAAAAAAAGGTAGAAGAGGAAAATCACATAACAGATCAGTAACCATGGTTACTTCTAGGGACGGAAAAAGCAAGTGTGAGGTGGGTAAAGAGGTTTGCCTTTAACTCTCCATATTTCCTGCTTGAATTTGTACTGTGTGTTGCATGTATAACCTTTAGGAAAATGTCTACATGCAATTCCAAGGGTTTAAAACACACTTAGGGTCAATCCAAGAAATCCCAAAGGGCCTACAGAGTGCAGGTAAAGCCCAGGGAGGCCTCCCGTGGCCAGTCCAGGCTGTCTGCCGTGAACCCTTGCTGGTGACGCCCGGAGGCCCCTGCAGGGGCTGGAGCTAGATTCTCTGCACCCACCATCCCTACCACCAGACACCGCGTCCTAGGCTGCCACCATCACTTCAGCTGGAAACAGGTTCTTACCAGCGAGAGCTCGTCCACCTCAGGGGCTGGGGCGAGGGGCCTCTCCAGGGAGGGGCTGGGGGGTGCAGGTGAAGGGGTAGGAGAAGCAGAAGTGCAGGAAGGTGCGTCTCCATCATCCAGGCCTGGGAAGGCGGCCAGACCCACGTCATCTTCGGGGATGTCATCCAGGGTCTTCGTGAGCGCTGCCAGGAGGGCCTCATTCTCACTGTCGATTATCTTGAAGTGAGCAGAGAGGGAGAGAGGGGACACGGTTAGTCAACGCCTTGGGCTCAGTGTCTTTGTGTAGAAATCTGCTCTGTACCTGCAGCTGCACCGCCATCACCCTCCCGCCAACCCCCTCAGATCCTCTCAGTTTGCTGGGAGAGCAGATGCACAAGAAATGTGTTACGGACTCCAAGAATCACAGAAGTTTCCATGCAGGCAGCAGGCAGTATCAGAAAGGGCCTGGCCCTAGGGGTCCCAGCCTGGGCTCTGCTCCTAGGGCTGTGCACATGAGGGATGTCTGTCCCCTCCTCCAAGGACAGTCGCCTCACACCACAGCCTCCTGCATCCAACCCCTGGACACAGCCCTGAGGCTGGACTATGCCACTGGTAGCCCCAGGCCATTGCAGACCCCTGCCTCTCTGACCCTGGCCCAGCCAGGTGGTGGAAAGGCTGGAAGCTTCAAGGTGCAACCGTGACAGTGACAACCAGAGCAATAGGAAAACAGCTACCCTTCCCCTGCGGGTTCTCAGGGCTGCCTCACTGACTCACGGGGAGGTGGTTAGTGTGATAGCCTAGGAGCTCGGGCCCTGAAGCTGGGGCTGAGTCCCAGATCTCATACTTATCAGCTGTTACAAGATAACCTACTTCATAAGGTTACTGCTGAGGACTGAATGAGTTAACATATGAAAGATGCTTAGAAAACAGTGCCCAGCACATAATAAGCAGTTATTGCTCCTCCTTCTCCAATTCCTGTTATGCTGAAGATGATATGATGAAGATGATGGTGGTGGTGGGCAATTTCTCCCTCTTCTTCCCTCACACACACGTACCGAATGGCCACTCTGTGCCTGGCGCTGTCTCGGCACTGGTGACACAGCGTGCCGAGACTGGTAGCCCCAGCCCTCACGGAGCTTACTCTCCAGTGGAGAAGAGTTAAACAAGGAGACAAACCAGACTGTTTCAGAGAGTGAGAAAGCCTGAGAGAAAAAGAAAAGGAAGCTGTGCTGGAGCATAAGAACATGGTGAAGATTCATAGGCTACTTACAGTGGCCTGAGAAGGCTGCTCTGAGCAGCTAATACTGAAATACAGGCTTGAAAGATGAGATGGTACCAGCCAGGCAGAGCTGAGGAAAGAAGATTCCAGGCAGAGGGAAAACCTAACGCCAAGGCCAGGGACAAAGAATCTGGCCAATGAGAGGAACAGAAAGGCTTTGTAAATACTGCCTCAGGTAAGCCCCACAATAACCTCTATGGGGAGGGGTACTAGTTTAATCTCCATTTTGCATTTGAGGAAATTGAGGCTCAGGGAGGTTGACTAACATGTCCAGCGTCACACAGCAAATCAGGGGCAGAGGTGAGACTTACACGGAGCACAGCACAAGGATGAACAGAGGTACCTCCTTCCCTAATGTCCCAGATCTAGAACACGAGGGTCAGTGTGCACCCTCCCAGCCCACCCACAGACACCAGCCCACCGGCCCTGGGCCACGGAGATCACACTGCTTCTAGGTGAGGCGCCGAGCGCCTCATTTAGTAAATCCTGGCTGCTGGGCTTGTTCTGGCAGGAGTTAGCTGTCACGTGATGCCTTCCCCAGCACTCTTTCCCATAGCAAGTCAGGCTGTTTATCCTTTCTTCAGGAAGCTCATCTGAAACACGCATCTCGTGACGGCCTTTGGGCCGCACTAAATCTGTTCCAGGCCTTGCAGCCGGAGTAGCAGCTGAGTAATTCAAAGGGGGGGAGCACATGGGGAGAAGAGAACAAAAGCATTTGCAATTTTTGGAACAGAGTTAAGAATAAAAGAAAGGTCAAAAGAAGGTTTTGGTTGGGCCTGACCCATGCCCTGGGGCCGGGGATCCAAGGGCAGATCCAGGCTCAGGGACTGTGGCTCGGGAAAGCAATGGGGCTCACCTGACGGCTCCCCACCCCCATCCTCAGGCCAGACACCCAACCCTGTGATCCCAACGCAATTTGTCCAGCCTGATGGGGAGTTAAGATCTTGGGACCTGAGACCCAAGGACCACTCTTGGGGCTGACCATGTGGGGCTTTGCCACTGAAAAGGGGATCTTGGGCAAGTAGTTTCTGTCTTCCCTCCAAGCCTTGCTGCTTTACAGTGAACAGGAAGGCGTGTGATCCCTGGTTGGTTTCCCTCCAAGCGTTACTAGGACAGCCGGTCTGGAGGCAGTGTCACAAGGGCTCTGTGAAATGTTCCTGTGCCTAGCTCAGTGCCCAGGGCATGGGAGGCCCAAGGCAGATGTGTTGAATGGAAGAATGAATGAACCAAAAAATGAACTCTGATCACGGGGAGAGGCGGAGATGAGTGTCTCAAAGAACAGATTCCAGAGGGCAGTTATTCAGAAATGAAGTCATCAGCACTGGTTGGAATGAGGGAGGGTTCCCTTCCTTCACAGGGAGAGGAGTGTGGCCCAGAGATACTCTGAATTATCGCAAATATCAGAGCTGGACGGGCCCCCAGGGATCACATAGTGACCAGGGATGTTAAATTCGCTGCCTGCGTGCTGCTGCTCCCCCGTGTCGATAACCAGTTGGGCCTCTCCTTCCTTCCACGCCAGCATCTTTCATGACACAGCCCTCCAGGCAGCACCACAGATCCCCCTCGGCTGGAGCTCAGGAGGAAGCCTATCTGCCATTCTTTTGCGGGTAGGGGAATGAAGGTCTAGGAAAGAGACTTGTCAAAGTCACACAGCAGGTCGGGAGTGGGTGGGGAGGGTGGTCAAGACCTTACCAGGTGCCAGGCGAGGTGCTGAAATGAATACAAGTTGGCAGAGAACCCCAAGGAGCCCCCAACAGGTTAAGTAAAAACAAAATGACTAGCAGAAGGCCTCCCGGCTCTTCCCCTCAGCCCTCTCTGGGCTGCTCTGGCTCTGGAACAGCCAGGCGAGGTTGGAGGCCCTGACCCTAGCTGGGAAGAAAGGCCCTTCCTGTCCTCAGCATCGTCCCATCGGCACCCTAGGATAATCCAGCACAGGGGCCCCACCACCCCTCTCCTCTTCCCAGGCCCATTAGCCCGGTTCTCCCAGCTCTGCTTGGAAATGGGAGTGCAAATTAATGGAGAGTTAATCAGCCGAGGAAGAGATATTAATAGACTCAGCCCCACCCCCAACCTTTCTTCTCAGGCTGGAGGCAAAGGAGCCTTCAAGAAATCAGAGGGAGAATGCTTCATTCTGAGCGCCTTCATTCTGAGCGAATTCTGTAAGACACAGATGTCACACTAGCAGGGCCAGAAGAACACTCAGAAATCCTCCGTCATTTGGAGGTTTAACTGGGGTTCAGGAAACCCAGGAAATCAGGCTCCCTTCCCTTTTTTGGGCGGGGGAGGGGGAATGTCAAAGATGCCGTCAGAGTCTGCAAGGGCCCAGTGACTCTCTCCCCACAACAGATTAAGAACCACTGATCTAATCCATGCTCATTGCTCACGTGGGGAAACTGAGGCCCAGCCACAGGGAGCTACTTGCCCAAGGCCATACAGCACATGGTGACAGAATAACCAAACGTCTGCTTCCTCCAAAGATACTAAGTTTAGCCTATTGTGGCCCTGGCCCTGGGACTCTGGGCACACAGAGGAACGGGAGGCACTGTCCCTGCCCCTGAGCAGTTGTCAAACCTTGTAATGGTAGCTGTTCTCCACTCTCCCTGTTTCCATGGCAATGGTGCCACCTGACTGTTGGAACATGGCTCAGACACAAGGCAGCATGGCTCTATGACTTGCCACTGGTCAGATGACAGCTCTGTTCCAGCTAGTGGCGGGGGGTGGGGTGGGATTAGAACCTCTGATTCCTGAATCCCAGCTCAAGGATTTTGGAATGGGTCATGCCTGATCCTCGGCTGGAAAGAAAAATTATAATCAGTTTCTCCATTTCACACATATGATTGAGTCTCTACAATGTGCAAAGGCCCCACAAGAGAACAAAATGCTGTCTGTCCCCAAGGAACTTAAAGTCTGAAGGTCACATGCACATGCACACACGGGCTGGGAGCCCAGGAGAGGAAGTGACTGACCACCTGCCTTAGAGGAGCTAACAAGAGCTGAGTGTCAAAAGATGTATTCATCTGATGAACATTTGTCAAGTCCCAAGAAAGTGCCAGGCTCCTGCAGAGCCCTGGGAATAAAACAATGTACAACACTGTAGTGGCCCCCACGCCCAGGGGGTTTATGATGGAGGGCTGAGGGTGGGGGAGGAGGAATCAGGCACTAATCACATCATCACACACACAGAGGTGTGTAGTGGGTGGAGCTGGCCTCATCTTGGAAGAGCAGGTGTGAAGTGCAGGCCATGAAGGGGAGAGGGGCTGGGTGAGCAGGGTTGTGCCGCTGTCCTAACCACCTGTGAAGATTCTTCTGCCTTCCTGGTGCTAAGAGCCCAAGGGCCACACCAGGCTGATGTGTGTCTGAGTCCACTTCATGCATATAGCAGGATTTTGGCAGAAGCTTGCGAGTGCCTGGCCTGTCTCTGCGTGAAGGGGGCCGGTACAGTTTAGGCGGGGATGGTCTCCACGCAGCATCTAAACCCCTACGGAGAGCTCATCAGCTCTCCATAACCTGAAAACATTTTCTGGAAGTTGCCCCCTCTGAGGGGACACAGTAGCTTAGTGTAGTTAATTAACTCCACTGCTGAGATCAAGAATGGAGGTCCTGAAAGGAGCCAGAACTCGAGCCCAGCCCTGCTGATCCTCACAGGGTTGACAGAGAGGCTATATGACAGACAGCAAGGGGCTTGGGTTCCTTGGTTAGAGTCTTCACTCTGACCTTTCCTAACTGTGTGGCCTTGGGCAAGTTACTTAACCTCTCTGAGCATCATTTTTGTCACCTGTAAAATGGGTTATTAATAGCCTTTTATTTATAGGTTAGAATAATCTTGGGAAAAATCCAGCTCCTTAACCCAAAAATCCAACTAATGGCCCAGAAGACCCTGCGGGGTCGCCCCTGCCTAGCTGCCCCACCCCCACCCCCAAGCATTTCCTGCCATTTTCCCCTTAGCCACTACCCTCCAGCCCTGCGGTTCCCCAACATAGCCCTTCCCCAACACAGCCCGTGTGGCTATGCAATCTGCACGTGGCTCCTCCTTCTCATCCTCCCCTGAAGCATCTCCTCTTCAGAAAGGCCTCTCCTGCCCACCCAGTCTTTAGATCCTCTTCTCACTTCAGATTTGTTCTTACTGTGCCCATGTCACAGGTTACCACTGTTTCTGTGTTAACTGATCCAGGGTCAGTCTCCCCTCTGGACCACAGAGTCCACTGATGATCACGGTGTCTGACCCAGAGAGGGCACTCCATAAACATTTCTAGAAGGAACGACACAGTCCACCAGGAGGACTATTTGTGCTGCTCACAGCACACTGACACAGCATTTGCCACATGGCATTTTGTTGTTGCTATTATTATGATTATATTGCCAGACAGGCACAGGGAACTGTGGCTTCTTCCCCTAATCTTTACAGGGAAACATATTTTAAGGAAAGAATAATAAGTCCAAATGTACCCATTACCCAGCTTCAACACGGCCAATCTTACTTCATCTACGGCTCTCCACGCCGCACAGCCACACATGCAAGTGCATGCAGAGATTGCTTCACTCTGCAGCAAATTGCAGACATCATATTACCCCATATTAGAGGCCTTCTTCAAGGAAATGTCAACCATCATGTGTCTCCGAGGCTGGGAATGGGGGCACACCGGGCGAGAGGCATAGATGTGCACTGCCTCTTTTTAAAGAACCTCCAAGCTCCTACTAAAAAATGGAGGTAACTATACTTATGTCTGTGAGTTGTTAAGAAAATTAAGTGAGTTACAAACAGGGACAGTCCTGCCACAGAGCGGGTGCTCAGCAAATGAGTCACTCCCAACATGGTGTCAGCTATAAAGCTCTGGCTCAGGAGGCCGGCAAACTGGGCTTGAATCTAGCTCAGCTACTGACGTGGTAAATCACCCTAGGCACATGACCTAACTTCTCCAAGCCTCAGTTTCCTCATCTATAAAATGGGGGAAATAATCACACCTGCTTCACAGGTAGGGGATGAGAATTCAGTGATAATACAGGGAAGGGAAACCCTGGACCCACAGCCTGGTGAGGGGGCGAGAGCCGCCCAACGTCAAGTTCAGACTCAGGGCAAGAGACAGGGTCCCAGGAGCTTTGCTGGCAGAAGAGACTTCTTTGCATGAGCAAGTGCAGAAGAAGGTGGCTCGGGGCAGGGTCGGGCTTTCAGGGCCAGAGAGAGGCATGGCGAGGCAGGAGGCGGTGAGGACCAGGACGACGTACCTGGAAGAGCTCCGAGTCGTCGGGGCTGTACTGGCTGGGTTCAATCTCAGAGTTCTCCGGGCACCACTGCAGCTCCTCAAAGCAGGTAGCAGAGTCAAAGTCGCTGGCGTCCAGCTGGGAGAGGTCGAGCTCCGGAAAGTCAGCGCACAGTTGCTCCTCCCCGGACCCCCCACCCTGAGGAGACAGGAAGGAAGGAGGTGGGTCAGAGCTGAGCTTGGCTAGACCCAAGCAGGGACTCTTTTACTCATGATGCTGCCAGTCTGGACACCTGGCTACCTTTGTCCAAGGCCCAATTTTGCCAAGTGAAATGTAAAGATTGGCCTCACCCACTTGCAAATGTCGAATCTACCAGGTGGTAAGTCAGGTCCTAGCAGTACAAATCCTCCTGCCTGCTGCTCTCTCCCCTCCTCCCCTGCACTCCTATACATCCCTCAAAGCCCTGCCCACGTAGCACCTCTTTTCTTTTACCAGAAATGTTTTGTTGACAACTTTATTACAACCTGTAAATGGATATCTACTCCTTTATATTACTGCTCCCACATGAAATGGGACTTCTGGAAAGCAACAATCCCTCTATATTAAAAATGAAACAGCAAAAAGCAATAATAACAAGGGCTGACATCACTGAGTGATTGCTATGTTCTAGAAAAACTCACCAATGTTCCCAGGAATATCTGTAATGTCTACAGTGTGGAAGCCCACCTATTGGTAGATAACAGGTAAACAAAACTCCAATCACCTGTACCATGGAATACTACGCGCTGCTGAAAAGAACGAGGCAGCTGTGTAAGTTCTCCGTGACACTACACTGCAGAGTGTCAGCAGGTAAAATATTATCCCACATGTGAAAGAGAATGAGGCTCAAGCTGCACATTCCTCCCGATAGTATGGATGAGAATATCGTGCAAACACACAGGAAGAGGTCTAGGAGGCCCTAAACCAGTGGTGGGGGCGCAGGAGAGAGTCATGGGAGACTCTGCTAACAGCACCAACTGAATCCGAGCTACTCCAAGTGTGGTCCCAGGACGGGCAGTGTCAGCAGCACCGGGGAACCTGTTAGAAATCATGCAGATTCTCAGGCCTCACCCCAGACTTACTGACTCAGAAGGCGACCCCCTCCTCACCCTGGTCTCCCGAGTTCAACAGTTACCAATAGAAAGGCTACCTTGCAGAGTCAGAAATAGCCCCGGCTGGGAGGCTGACATAGAAACAGAACACCACAGACACTGGGGGACGGCAGACCTGAGTCATGGTCCCCACTCACCAGCTGTGAAACCGGGCAAGTCCCTTCACCTCTCTGAAGCTCAACTGTCTCATCTGTAAAATGGGACAACACCACCTGCTTCATACAGTTCATATTAAATGCGGCAATGCTCTAGCCTGGCTTGATAAGGGCTCAATAAATGTTAGAGAGTAGTAATGACAAATAAAAAGTACTAATGGGGGAGCAGGGGAAACAGCTCTGCGGAGAGCGCATGCTTCGCAGGCATAAGGTCCTGGGTTCAATCCCCAGTACCTCCAAGCAAAAATGATAATAACAATCAAAACAACAGAGTTTCATGGCAGGCAGAGATAGGTGGAACCTCCTTAGAGAACAGAAACAGGTCTGTGTGACACTTAAGAGAAATAGGTTTTGCCCAGGCCTTTTCCTTAATTGTTCCCACTTACTAGGCCTCATAAATTATGAATAAATGTATATTATTAGCTCAACTTGACACAGGAAAAAGGTTTTTATCCGAATTTGGGTCAAATGTCTTAATTGGCGTTTTGCAAAAATCCTGCACACACGGGCAGCGCCAGGGCTGGGTTCTCCCAAGTGGCCAGTCCCTGCTCTCAGGCCAGCAGCATGGTACCCAGCGAGCCTGCCTCTAGGGACACCCCCGACCCTGCCTACCTGCCCCCTAGCTGCCTGCTTTCTCCAACCCACATGTGTTCAACATCCATGAATATTAAGCACTGTGTCACTCGGGTGAGGATTCGCAGCCGCCTCCTGGGGCATCCCTCCTCCCCTACCCAGGGGAACGGTGCAATGCAGTGGTTTTGCCCGCTCTGGAGAGATGACGGTTTGTTTCTAGTTTCTGACTGTGATGAATAAGGCTGTAATATCTGTGTACAAGTCTTTGTGTGGACATGTTTTTATTTTTCCTTGGTAAATATCTTGGAGTAGAATTGCTGGTCACATGCTAAGTGTATACACGACTTTATAAAAACCACCAAATTGCTCTCCCAAGTGGCTGTATGGGAGTTGCAACTGCTCTGTGCCCACACCAGCACTTGGTACTGTCAGCCATTTAAATCTGAGCCATCCATGATGCCTGCAGGCATTTATTAAACGTTACTATGAGACAGGCGCTGCGACGTGTAAGACTCAGCTCTCTCCTTCATGAGTTAACATCTAAGTGGGAGAAGAAAACACATAAATATTTCATGACACACTCTGTTAGTACCATGAAGGAACCAAACAAAAGGTGCACTGATGGAGGACAAGAGAGGGAGGGGAATCTACTTAGATGGGGGTCATGAAAGGCTTCCTGAAGGAGCTGACGTCTGATCTGAGACCTGAAGGAGGAGCCAGGCAGTGGAAGATGCGGAGAAGGTTCCAGGCAGAGAGGACCCAGCAAAGGCAAAGATCCAGGTGGGGACCAAGCCTAGAGCAGGGTGCACTGACCAAAGGCCAGTGAGGCTGCAGCCCAGTGAGCGAGCGGTGGAAGGGAGAAGAGAGAGGCAGGTAGAGGCCAGATCAGGTAGGGATGGAAGGGATTTTTGGTTTTACACCAAGTGTGATGGGAGTAGGGCCAGTGTCAAAGCAGGCAGATGGGTTAAGTCAGTGTAGCATCCAGGAGAGGGGCAGGCAGTGGGGCTGGGAGGACACCACTGGAGGCATGTGGAGCAGGAGGGAGAGCCAGAAGCAGAGACACGAGGATGCCGGGAAGCTGGGGCCCCCCTGACCAGCAAAGCCCCCAGCTCCAAGCAATCTGGGGAGCTCTTTCTATTTGTTCCGGATCCTGCTCATTCTTGTATCTTAGAGCAGCCACCTCTGTAGGACCTGCTTCTTGAGTCTCAGAAACAAATTTTAAATTGGAGTTCCAGAACCCAAGACTGGCCAAGAACTCAGCAGCGCTGAGAGGCTGTCCAGGCAAGTGGTTATGGACCATCTGGTAGACAGAGGCCCCGTCAAGAACCAGATAAAAGTTATGGACATGTGTGCACAATGCATGTGTGTGCAAGGAATTTAGGCTTAACCTCTAGGCCTTCACAGACACAGCTAAGAACTCCCGACCTGCTTGGTCCACCTCCTTCACTTTGCACATAAGGAAACTGAGGCCCGAGGAAGATCATGGATTTGCTCAGGGTCATCCACTGACTGTTCTTCCAGGCCAGTGAAGCCAGGCCACCTCCTTCACAAAACACTCATAAAGCCAAGTGGCCATGACTACTGCACTACTGATTACCCAGAGCAGCTCCACACTCTCACTTTGTACCCACTTTGACATAAAATAAAGGACATAAAAATAAAGAAACCTCAGCCTGCAGCCTTGTCGATTATGGCTGAGGCCACTCTCAAGCTAAAACCCATTAAGCACTGCATTAATAGTGATTTCGCTGGCCTTCTCCTTATCTACAGAGACTTTTGAAGGGGTGCCTCGGGTGACCCAGTTCTCTTAGAAAGGTCTGACTTGAAGCCTTCTAGCTCTGTCCCGGCCACCTCCCGCAGGCCCCACCAGTGGAGCAGCGAGGTCACAGCCCAGGCTAAGCCACTGCTATTACTAGGCACTTTCTATATGCCAGGAGCCACGCTAAGTGCCTGATATGCATCCTCTCATCACATTTTTATAATAACGCTGCAGGGCACGTGTCACTGTCCCCATGTTACTAATCAGGCAACTCAGAGTTCCGGTAGCTTGCATCAGTTTGCCGGTGCCACCGTGACACAGCGCACAGAACAACAACAGTCTGAGATCAAGATGCTGGCAGGGGTGGCTCCTTCTGAGGCCTCTCTGGCTGGTTTGTGGATGGCTGTCTTCTCCCTGCGCCTGTTGCCAGCATCTCCCCTCCATGCGAGCTTGTCTGTGTCCAAATTTCCCCTTCGATGAGGGGCCACCCTAGTGACCTCATTTTAACTTGATGACCTCTCCAAAGACCCTACCTCCAAATAAGGTTGCATTCTGAGGTACTGGGGTTTAGGACTACAAAATATCTTTTTTTTTCAGACACAATTCAACCCCTAATACCCAGGATCCCAGAAAGGTGAAGTTGAGATTCAAACTCCAAGTCTCTTCGCTCCTACAAAGCCTGTGCAATCGTCTGACATCCTGCTTCTGAAAGTGAGAAGGAACGTTCCCATTTATTCCCATTTACAGAGGAGGAGACAGAGCTTTGGAAAAGGTCTGCGAAAGACCCAAGTCACAGGGCTAGTTTGTGGCTGAGCAGGGACAGGACTGGGGCCACATGTGCTGTGTGTGCACCAGCTCCATGTGGCCCCCACCACAAGTCTGCCTACATCCCTGTCGTGGGGTCCCCCACTCTGGCTGCTGAGCCTTCTGTATCCATTCCTCCAGCAACACCACACCCCTGGTCTGAAGGGGCTGTGGCTGCCCCAGGCCAGGCAGATAAAGGCTCCTGGCAGTGGATTAATGGTGCTTCGTCCAGATTCACATAAGTGGCTTCACTGTGTATCTTGTCGGAAATCAATTCCTTGTTAAGAAAGAATGCAACTTCAGGAAAAATTGGCAGTTCCACTTTCCTGACTACAATCAGCAAATCGCCTAGCTCAGTGTCTGGCCCAGAGCACATTCTCAGAGTTACTGAGTAGAAGGAAGCAGGCGCGGGGAGGGGTGGCGGCACTAATAGAACCTGTGCTGGGCCAGCCCGTACGTAGCCACTCTGCATCCTTCAAGGGGTCACCTCCCCTCTCTGGTGCTCACTGACCCCTCCAGAAAAGAGAACATCAAACAGACAGACCCAAAGGAACATTCTTGCTCAAGTATTGATACAATTAATTCTGTACGTACTTAGTTTCTGAGATCCACATAAACTTTGGCGGAACATTTAGGTAGAATAAATGAATGGATTGACAGAGGGGGAGACAAAGGTGCAGAGAGAAGGTCTTTCTTGGCATGGAAAGAGGCCTGGACAAGAAGACAAAGGGCTGGGCCTGGCTTGGCTAATACCAA